GGGGGGTCTACTTAAAGTGATGCAAACCACTAATGTGTTTGGTTGCTAAGCTAAAGTTGGAGGTTTTAGTCCACCCAGAGGCACCTCAAAAGAAAGTGCTAGTGATTGTCTTCTGAAAACACTGCAGAGCACAGGTCTACTCTGACATGCACGGGGCTCCACGAGAAGTAACAGACCAGACAGCAACTGGCACCTTCAGATGTCTCTCTTCAGATGCCCCACAGCTTTGACAGGGGAGACAGCTGAGTAAGGGGAAGAGACCGTGTTTTGGGTCTGGACGGAAGAAGGGAGGAGCCCAGGACTTCATGGCTGGGAGGGCGAGAGCTGCAGGAGCTTGGGAGCTAGGTAAGCCGATGGGCAAAAGGGCAGGCCAGAGGGGCATGCCAAAGAGGCCACCCAAGACACCATCCAGGCTGGGCACCAGTTTCCCCTGTCCAGGCCAGGAGTTGCCGCTGGGAGTCAGACCCTCCCTTCCCAGTCTGTGAGATGGGCCCAGCACCCCCGCCCCATATGCTCATCATAAAGCAAATGAAGACAGACAACAATTCTTTTAAGAAAGGACCACCACAAAGTCCTCTGGGTGCAGCTGGGATGAAGGCCTACAGGCCCGCAGGGGCAGCACAGGGCTCTGTCCATGGCAGAACAGGGGGCCCACTCCCCCCATCCTATGATGGCCTGATCCCTTAGCACTGGCCTTTGAGAAGCACCTCCAAAACCTGCTTTCTTCTCTGAAGCCACTGAGCTCAGAAGGATGCTGAGATGATGGGAAATCTCCAAGCTCACCCTTTCTCTGACCTGTAAGCCAAACCCCACAGTAGCTCCTCAGCCCTCGGCACTCCCATGCCTCCCACCTGGCAGGGCTGAGGGCTCTAGGGCTTACCAGTTAAAACTCATGAAAGCAGGACAGGGCACCCTCACCCCCTGCACTGAGCAGTCAGCACCAAGGCCCCCACTTGGAAAGCTAGTGGTGGCCAGAGGTCACGAGAGCCCCAGGAATGTGAGTCTTGGGAAGCTGAGGAATATCTAGACAAATCCCTTGGGGAGGGAGACCTCAGCTACTGTCCCATCTCCATAGCAACCTGACATTCTGGCCAAAGGATCCTTCCTCCCACAGCTGACCTTCAAATCCAGCATCTCAGAATGAGCCTGGAAATTATCCAAGCATTAGGCAAGTCCTGCCTTTACGTGGACCCCCTCCCAGACCCCAAGTCCCACTGAGAAAGGTTTAGGAACCACCTGCTACAGTCGGATGCTGGCTGCTATCCTATTTCCCAAACTCAGTCCCTCCCACACCAGCAGCTGTGTTAGTAGTTACCAATTTCTTTATAGGGATGTGGTTTTGCACCCATTTATTTATTGAAAATATCACCACAGTAGATATAACGCCAGTAAGCAATACTTGCCATAAATAAAAGGTAGCCAATAAAAATAGACAATTAAAATAAAACAATGCTATAAAAGCCCGGAAACTTTTCCCACTACCCTAAGCCCGAGGTTGGCTCCCTGGTAGGAGGGAGTCGGTCCCTGTTCAGAGGCATTAGAACACATTGGCACCATCTGAGACACACTTCTTAGCATAAAAGGACTGAAATAAAATTGGAAAGGGGATCCCTATCTTGCTCTGATTTTGTGCCACTTAATGCAGGCCACCCGAAAACATCTCCAGGGGCCCAGAGTACCCCCTGATGTATGAGGAATGCTAGATTCATGTTCCTCTGCCTCAAGGTTAACACAGGGTGAAAACACACACCCGAGGGGCCTCCTCTGGTCACATCTTTACAGCATCATTAGATTTCCCCCGTGTGCCAGCTCCCTGGACGTCACCGCTGACTCAGGTGGGACACCAAGTAGACGAGGCCCACCAGAAAGAGCCCGCGAACACCAAGCATCATAAGCAGGAAGAGAAGCAGGATCGAAGTCACGGGTTCCACAGCATGATTGCCCAGATGCCACTGGGGGAAGCCCATGTTCACCAGCTGCCGGTTGAGGTCATTGAAAGGGGACTGAGCAGCTCCCAGCCTGGCCCCCACTTGCTGCTGGCGGGGACCAGGGCCCCCCAGGGGAGCACCAGGGCCCCTGTTGAGAAAGCTCTGGAAATTGAAGACAGAGAGAGATGAATGAACCCAGAGAAAGCTTTGCTAGAGGTGAGGGGCCAGCCAGGAGGAAACCCCGCTGGGCTAGGCCCTGCCCATCCAGAAGAGAGAGGCTGAGCTGGGAAGGGTAGATGGTCCCCTACAGCCATCCAGGATCATTCCGTCTTTTCTCAACAATCCCTGGATGACACTCACAGGAACCTTCCGGGCATGAAATATACTAGTCCATATTCTGAATGTCATGCCCAGGGAGAAGGTGCCTGGATGGACATGAGGGAAGGGGTCGAGATGGATCGGATTCAAGGGCACAAATATTTTTAATACTCATCACCCCCTCCTTAAAAATAACCATTGTGGTCACAGGTTCTTCTCCTGGCTTACTCACTAGAGTCTCTTGTCTAGGGCTCTCAGAGGAGCAAGTGGCCAGTGGGGTTTGTTAATCAGGTTAAAGGAGACAGAGCCCTTGTCTTTGAAGCCTGGGGAGGCTGCCTGGAAGCAGAGGCAGAGCAGTAATTCTACTACGCTCACCCCAAGCAGTGACCCTCTGTGTTCCCCAGCCTGATTCTCCACAGAGAACGCTAATACCAGCAGGGGAGGCTCGGGGGTAGGGGGGGCCTGAGGGGTACCAGGTACAGAGGACAAGAGGAGCCAGCTGCCCCCTACCTGTCGAGGTGTACTACCATGCTGTGGAGTGGTGGTCCTCACGCGGGGGTCATCATCCTGTACAATTTCCCCATTGGCCAAAATTCGTACCATCTTCTGACGAGCTCCAGGTTCCTGCTGGGCTGCACCTGCATTGAAGGCCAGGGTGGGGGCGGCCAGAAGTCAAGTGGCTCAGATGCCAACCCCCCTACCAATAAATGGCCTTTAATGCTTAGTGATCTGTGACTAGGATCTTGAAGATCCACAGAGGATGTTCCCCCAGTTCTCAAAGAGCCTGAAGGGAACAGTTTACAAGAGATACAGGGATGTTTGCTGTCAGTAGAATGAACTGTAATCTAGACCCAGGCACTGGGTCTGGCTAATAAAAAGCAGGAATTAAGTAAATGCAAGTTGGTTGCTAGGCAAAAATCATGGTGAAACAAATCTTTCAAATCTTTTTCAGCGAACGCTACATTAAGTCCTCTGGGAAAACGATCTGAAGGACACTTGGAAAAAACTATCACCATCACCAACAACTGCCCCCCCCCCACCTTTGCTGTGGCCTGGGCACTGCTGAAGGCCCATGGAAGCTCATCTCAGCTAAGCCTCTCGCTGCTCCTCTGAGAGAGGGGCTCGCACAGCCACTGCACAGAAGTTTCAGTCATTTGCCCAGGGTCAAGCTGCTCCAAACAGCAGAAAAAGAATGTGAAGCCAGAAACGGCAGCTCTGGGCCTTCTGTGGGTACTAAGCAGGAAACCCAGGGTACCAGAACCCTCAGGCCCATGACACCCACACCTCATCTCTCTTCTGTTAAATGGGTGCAGTGTGTTTCCCCCTCAGGGAGCAAAAGTCAATGATTTTGGGGGAAAGCTCTGCTGCCTGGCAGACCACACCGGTGGGTGGTCACCAGTGCTGGCTGCTGCTGTTGTTAAGTGTTGTCAAGTCGGTTCCGACTGACAGTGACCCTGTGTAGGAGTTCCAAGAAGCGGCTGGTGGGTTTGAACTGCCGACGTCCAGGCCACACCAGGCTAGCATGCTGCTTTCAGGTAGAGGGCATGGCCCTCACCTCTGCCTTTCATGTTAACACCAGTCCATCCTTTGCTAACAGAGGGAATGGGGGTGCTTCTGTAGCTTCTGGGAAAGCTCCACAGACCCCGGGCATCCCAGGCCTGTTCATAAAACATGGCAAAAAGCGGCAGAGGGCGGGAGTGTCCCCTGTCTCTTCCAAGTCTATGTCATGGCCATTTTTATCATTTAGTTGTCATCTTTATTCTCAAAAGCACTCGTGACCCACTCCTCTAACGGGGTTGAGGCCCCGAGATCTCTTGCTTCTGGCAGAGGAAGGCCAGAAGGGACAAGGTCTCTTTGTGCTTCGTCATCTCGCCCCTCACTGGGTGGGCTAAAGGCACGACCCCCCCCCCTCAAGGCACCTTTCAGTAAGGTAGGGACTCGGCCTATTGCCAAGGACCTTCGACTCCCCAGGGCAGGAGGGGCGAGGGTCAGCGCGGGCACAAGACAGGGCAGGGATCGGGGATGGGGGCCCTGCCAGGGCGCCGAGCCCCAGCCTCCTGGAGCTTCAGATCGGGGGGTGGAGGAGGGATGCGTTCCCACGTCCCTCCTCGAGCCCCGGACACCCACCTCACCTGCGGGCTCCGCTCCAGGCCTCCACGGAGTCCACTCTCCGCAGCTCTGAGACCGCTTCCTCCCACCTGACCTAACAGGAAGCTTGGCACTGGCGGGGCGGAGCCGAGTGGGCGGTGCCGATGCGCCCTCTGCAGGCCTACGCGGGAACTGCAGCTGCCGGCTGGGCGCGGAGGAGGGAGAATGGGAAGAAAGGAAGGATGAAAAGAGGATGGATGGAGAACAGAGTGTGTGACAGAGTGTGTGGGGTGTGTGTGGGGTGTGTGTGTGTGTGTGTGTGTATGTTGAGGGGCGGGATGCGGCGGAGAAGTAAGGAGGAAGGAGAGAAAAGAAAGAGGGAAGAGAAGCGGGACGCTGCCCAAGGAGAAGCCCCTGGGAGGAAAGGTGAACACATATTTGCGGAGCCTTTAAAGAGTTGTAGGATAACCACAAAGTTAGCAGTTCAAACCCATCACCCATGCCTGGGAAACCCTATACAGGATCGCTGTGAGTTAGAACCAACTCGACGGCACATAACAACAGCGCTGTGGGTTAGGCGTTGGGCCGGTAATCAAGAGATCAGCAGTTCAAACCCACCATCTCTCCGTGGAAGGAAACTGAGGCTGTCTGCTTCCGTAAAGATGGACGGTCCTGGAAACCCTAAGGGGCAGTTCTCTGTTCTATGTTGTTGTTAGGTGCCTTCAAGTGGGTTCCCACTCAGAGCGCCACCTATTTACAACTGAATGAAGAATCCCCATCACAGTTGTCATGTTTGAGCCCATTTGTGCTGCCATTAAGTCAGTCCATCTCGTTGGAGGTCTTCCTCTTTTTCTCTGACCCTCTACTTTATCAAGCATGATGTCCTTCTCCAGGGACTGGTCCCTCCTAATAACATGTCCAAAGTAGAAGAGACAAAGTCTCACCACCCTAGCCTCTCAGGAGCATTCTGGCTGCATTTCTTCCAAACCAGATTTGTTTCTTCTTCTGGTGTTGTGCCTCAATTTACCCAGATGACCACTCAAGACTCTCTGGATCGATAAGGAAGCCTTTATTAGCTGGCCAGCGACTACAGCCTCCCTAAAAGCTGGAAAGACTGCAGCCCCGACCCAATTTTTCAGAGTATTTATTCATAGGCAGTCGGACATTATCTTGCACAAACCAAGGGTAAGGTATATGCATAGGCCATTAGGGTGGGGTTAGGGATTCATCAGCTGGGACAGTTATCTAGAGGGACCAGGGGTTGGGTGTATGCATAAGCTGTTTGACAGAAGCAGCATTTTCAGTAACCAGGGAAATTCACATTAAACCATGAGGAGACTCTAATAATTTAAAGTCTGATAGGACTAAGTGCTGGAAGTGATGAAAAGCAATGAGAGTTCCGGACCTTTAGGATCAGCCCTGGACTGCGAACCACAAGGTTGGTGGTTCAAACCCACCAACTGCTCCTTGGAAACCCTATGCTGGGTCTCTATGTGTTGGAACTGACTCGACGGCACTTAACAACAATGGGAGTTCCACACTGCTGGTGGATGGACAAATTGGTACAACCACTTTGGAACATCATTTGAGACTACCTAGAGAAGAGGTATGGCACTATGGGTTAATGCACCAGACTGCAAAGACATTTGAACTGAAAGGTCGGCGGTTCAAGCTCACCAGCTGCTCCTTGGAAACCCTATACAGGGTCATTATGGGTCGAAACCAACTCAACAGCACTCAACAACAAGAGAAGAGACATTTGCATTCACTATGACCCAGGACACAGAAGAGAATATTCCTACATAATACTAGGTCATGAGTGCAAGCACATCTTATGGCATTTTTTCATAATAGACTCAAACTAGAAATAATACAAATGCTTATCAAAGTAAAATGGATATACAAATTACATTTAAGTCATACAATAGAGACCAAAGACAATTACAAGCGATTATATTGAATCTTTAAAATATTATATTGAGCAAAAGAAGTCAGAAGCAAAATAAATCCTATTGTCACTGTAGGTAAAGTTGAACTATGTTATTTAGGGATACATAGTTGGGTAGTAAAAGTCGCTAGGGAAAGTAATGAAATTGTTACCAGCAGAGTAGTGCCTGGGAAGGGGTAGGTAGGTACCAGTGTGTGAGGGAGGCTCTGAAGTTCTGGCACTGTTCTACTCCTTGACTGGTTTAGTGGTCCCATAGATGTTCACTTTCTGATAGTTTGTTAAATTGCACAGAGAGCAGGTACAGGACTGAGCAATGAATTGCCTTGTCCAAATATAAATCAAATAAGTCTATTCTTCCATTGAAGTCCTGGTGTGGTGTTGTAGAATAAGCCCTGGACCACAAGGTTGATGTGAATTGTAAGGTTGAAACTCACCAGTCTCTCCTGGGAAACCCTATGCAGGGTCGCTATGAGTTGGAGCCAACTCCACAATACTTAACAAAACTACCAATAACATTCTTTCATTACAGGTTGCTTGCTGTTTCATTATAGGCAGCCTAGGTAAGGACTAAGTATATAGTCTCTGGAATTAGTCTGCCCAGATTTGAATCCTACCTCTGCTACCTACTGAGTGATCTTGTGCAAACTGCTTAACCTCTCTGTGTCTCAACTGTCTCAGCTGCAAGATAGGATAATAAATAACACTACCTAGTGTAAGGATTGGCGTCCTGGTGTACTATAGGATAAACATTGGAATGCTAACCACAAGGTCAGTGGTTCAAACCACGAGCCACTCCTTGGAAGCCCTGTACAGCATCGATAGGAGTCAGAGTAGACTCAAGAGAACTTCACAACAACAACAACAACAATGTAAGGATGAGGAGTCCTGGTATGGTGCTGCAGGATAGCATGGAGTGCTAAGTACAAGGTTCAGCCGCTCCTCGGAAACCCTATACAGTGTTGCTATGTGTCAGAACTGACTCCATGGCACTAAACAACAACAACATCAATATAAAGACTGGTATTGGCTCTGTAGGATGAGCACTGGACTGCAAACCACTCCACTGGAGAAAGATAAGGCTTTTTGCCCCTTCCAAGATTTACAGCCTCAGAAATTCTATGTTGTTGTAAGGATTAGTAACTCTTAAGTATGCAGTCAACAATACATGAGCTTTGTTAGAGAAATACAAATGCATACATTTATACTTTTTATACAAATGCATGAAAATTCTTCTCGTGCCTGTCGGCTTGGCCCTAAGGTTGCAGTTCCAACATTCTCAGTCTTAGAGCAGCGCCTGCTGCAGGCTCCCCAACTCAAATCCAGATCAGACTGCAGATTGTAGGTCTGGGCCAGTGCACAGAGCAGTCAAGGGTTTCAGCCTGAGCTGGGGAGCCCTGTTGGAGCTGGGAGCCAGGCGGCCTCAAGGCCCCTCAGCTGAGCATGGGAGCTGTGAACAGTCTGGCCCCAGGGCCCAGTGCGCTCTTCTCCTATGGAACTCAGAGGAGTGGAAGGAGGTGAGACTGAGGAGAGGGGCCACAGCATCCCAGCTGCCTTTCAGGCCTCCACG